AATTTTATACAAACACCCTGTACTCACCTTTAAGCTTTGAATCAAACCAATTATTACTCTCCTGGGCTGATATTATTTGTTTGTTCATGCGAACGGCGTTGTTGGTTAATTAGAAAACGACGAAAGACGAAAGAACGAACGCTTGACTTCAAATTTTAAGAAATATATTTAAAAAGAAATTAATTCACTAATTCATAACACCACTATTTATGAATGATATATATTATTCGATTTCCACTCACTTCGCTTTACCACCATTAACAAACATAAATATATCATAGAAAACAAAATTACCTATGCACTCTATTTATTTCACTTTAAACACATTTGTTGCTTTCACACAATAGAACACTTACAACTTTTCACACAATTTTAACTTTTTTAAATTTGCTTAACTGTTTCTCAAGGTTTTAAATTAAGCAAAATAATTTAAACAGTACTGTATTATAAATTTCTTACACGTTTATTACTATTTTTCCGCAACACGAATTCACGCGCAATTTGACCGTTGACCGATCGCGACTGAAAAATTGCAATTGACTGACTCTGAGCAAATGTATTGTGAGTGTGTAGAGTTCGACACGCCAACGAAGATGCTGTTGTTATTGTCGTATATGTATGGTGCAGTGTGACTGTGAAGAAGGTGCGCATTGTTTGTGTTCTTCCTTCGTTGAGGTAGCACATCGCTGCATAGCGAAGGGGTAATGCACTCGCTACATGCCAACTCGCTAAATGCCGACTGCATTACGGTTACTGTTGCTTCTCTTTGAGTTCGTGTTTATAGATTAGCAGCATTTTGACGAGTTAGGTGTCAAATGAAAGCATGCTCGCTCGCATGCGATTTTTTTTTTATGGTATATCCTCTGAAAATATTTTAAAACGTTTATTGAATAAAAAATGTAATATCTATTTACATATGTATATACATATTTTTATATAGATGCTTTGAATAATAAAATTGAACAATTATAATTTTTAATATTAATATGAACATTTTGTTTTAAAACAATGAATATAAATTACGACCTTTAATTATCAGTTACTATATTTTTAAGTACTTTATCACTAACTTATTTCTTACTTCTTTTATATAATTACTAAGAAGATAATATAATAATTTAAATTTTTAAATGACAACAACAATCAAACAAAAATGTGTTTGTTTAGCGCTAAGCACAAAAATCACAAACCTCCGTGCAATACTTCGTAAATTTACTGAAACGAATATTAAAATACTAACAAGAAACGATTTCTTAGAACAGCGCAGATAAAAAATGTATATGGAAGACATATACATATGTATATGTATGTAAACAATATATTTTCAAAGCTTGCAGCATAGACAAAAACTAAAGTTTAACTATATTCATATTCAAAATTCATACATGAATAAGAATTTTCTAATGAGAATACGCATTCATACGTAAGGTTTGCTATTTTCATATATATATATTATTACCCTTTAATTAATTTTGCAATAAAAAATTTTCCAATCGTAATAAGAGGGTAAGCAATATTTTGAAAGGAATATTGAAACATCAACAGACCGGCTGGGAAAATATTAATAACACTTAAAATAACTCATGTCTGGTTTATGAATTTTAATGTAAAATTGTATTCGTTCCGTGAAACCAAAATATATCTCGACACACAGGTATAACATTGCGAGAGAAGGATAATCTTCTTAATTTCAATTCTATATCTCACACATTGACTGATATTTCGAACAAAAGTCCACTAACGGTACTGGATTCCAAATATTCGTTAGCGGCTAGAACAGTTTTTATTAGATTTTAACAATGTGTAAAAAAAAGCAGGCGTAAAAAATGGCGCATCCTGGTGACATTGATCCTGACTCTCCTGGTGGTCTGAAAAAAAATCAAAATTCTTAATCAAAAAGGATGCTGTTATAGTCCCTATTTCAGGGAACACGAAAGAATTTTTTTTAAGGCGACTGCCTAAAAATAAAATCATTTTTTACGCTCTTTTTTTGAAATTCTTTAATATTAAAAACAAAGGAGGATTATATAAAGATAAAGGGTAAAGAAGGTTCACACAAAATTTCAAGTAAATCGGTTGCATAGAACTTGGGATAATGTCGGTGCCGTGTGGAAAAAGTGGTTTCGAAAAAAACGCGTTTAAAAAAGTGCTTCTTCCTACCTACCGCGCTAGGTACTGCGTCACTAAAGTAACTGTAGCTCTTAAAATAATTTTAATTTTTAAAAATCCATTGGAGAATATATTCTTAATGGTGTAATCTTTAAATATATGAAAAAAATCGAATTTTTCAAAATTCTAGAATAGAATACCCCCTTAATTAGATGATTAGTTATGGTCCTTTATATGTTTTCGGTTAATGGCAATGGTCCGATTACGCCCATCTACGAACTCGATTTATTTTTTATACTAAGGAACCCGCATACCAAGTTTCATCAGATGTTTCCATTTTTACTCAAGTTATAGCTTGCACGGGGGTACGGACGGATGGACGAACGGACAGACAAGCAGATAGTCAACCAGATTTCAGCTTTTCTCGTCATCCTGATCATTTATATATATAACCCTATATCTATCTTGATTAGTTTTAAGTGATACGTACAACCGTCAGGTGACCAAACTATAATACTCTGAAACAACTAGTGGCAAGAGTATAAAAATCGAGTCTAAATGAGGAAACTCTAATTGTACTGTGTTCTTTTGAATGAGTTTTTATCGAAATTATAGGCAAATCTGCGATACATCTCTTCAAAATTCGAAGGCTATAATTTGGATTTTAACCGTATTTATTTAAGACGTCTTAGCGAAATTATTGGATATTTTACAGTGTCACTCAAAGTGGGTGAAATCCATCTGTGAATTACCACGGCTATTGATTTAATGAAATTAAGTTTCTTAAGCTTAAAGTGTGCTGAATAATACGTCGGTCTAAGCTTTGATCCTCTGCTTGTAGCTCTTAAGGGGTATGGCCAATGTAGATTTTTCAAAAGACCGTTAGTTTTTTCGCTTAATAGTCATAAAAATAAGTTTAAATGCCAGCTATTGCCATACCTGTGTGAAATTTTGAACTCGTTTTACTCAAAATCGCGTTTCCAATTTTGCAAATAACTTAGAAAATTAGTTAAATAAACCTTTCAAAAAAAATTTTTTTCTCAATTTTTGGTGGAGAGTACTTTGTTTGTTGACATTTACTATATTTATTCACATATTAAATTGACTGAACAAATCTTTTTCAAATTGGGAATGTGCAAATGCACATAGATATTTATATTAACGCTTGTTCTCTTACATGCTGGTTATTGGAATGAATGCAGCAATAACGAGTGCAAAATATCAAAAAAAAAAAAAAAATGAAATAACTCATAACAGATACAAATGTATAAAACTCCAACTGCATACTAAACGCAGAGTAAAATATGTTCCATATACGATGTGTGTGATGTATGATAATATTCCTGACAGGTGTGATGGATGGTAAAATAACTGGCGTCTAGTTCGTGAATTTTAATGGAATGAAATTGCATTAGAAATATCAATTTCATATGCTGAAAACATTAGATTTGATTTAACTCAAATATTAAAGCTAATATATATCATACATATTGTAAAATAAATTATTAAATGTTTGAATAAAAATATTTTCAAAAAGATTGCCTTTGGTAAACACCAAAATATTTGAATTTTATCGTTATATCTAACAAACTTGTTATAGAATAGAGCTTACCTGCCAAAGAGGAAGACAACTTAAAAGCTTAAAATATTACTTAGAATATTTGTAAGTGAATTAAATAAATGGGAAACCAATATATACTTTTCTAGGGAATATCGACTACCTATCGAAAATAATTGAAACAATAAGCTTTACACGTATGTTTATATGTGTGCTTTTCAGTGGCAGTGAAGCTGAATGACACTGACACAAGAATACAAATTTTGATATGCACTGCAAAAAATTACTATAAAATTATGCTGATACAAGCTCCAATTATGCATAACGTCATTTCTTTAACAAATATAATTAAACACATCTATCACTAAAGTGAAAACACCTAAACTATATTTATATTTCTTTCTTTTCCAAATATTTTGATTTTTTGTTTCAAACTTTATCTACCCTGGCCCAATACGTGTGCATGCTATCTGCGATTTTTATCCCGTATTTCAATTTACGTTGGAAGAAAATTTAGTGCAAACTCCAAATGGCGGAACAATTTTCAATAAATATTTTTTGTGTTATTCTGTTAGTTATTTATAAATTACAATCGTTTTATAAGTTTGTTTTAATGCATTAAGATTTATTTAAGATGTACATATTTTATCGAAAAAGAACTTAAAAAAATGATAAATGAAAATTAAATGGTAAAACAAAAAAGGTTTAATTTTTTTAAAAGATCTTTCAAAACAGAAAGTTTATTTAATCAATATTATTTAAAATAATTATTTTTCAAAGCACTTTGTATATGCAACTTAATATTAAATTTTTTTTTAAATAAATATCTTAAAATATTTTCAGAGTATATAAAAAATCGCATGAGAGCTCTCTCATTTGACACCTCAGTCGCCAAAATCGCTGCTAAGTTACAAGGTGTGTAAACACAACAACACTTCAAGAAGGTGCAATAATTACCGAAATGTAGTAGGTATGTAGCGAGTGCATCACCCCTTCGCTATGCAGCGAAGGGTAATCGGAAAGCAAGGTGGGCAAAAAAAAACGGACGCCTTCTCCCCATTCAGACTCCACAACATACTATACAAAGGTAACAGCAATGCCGCTAACGTGTTCATACATGCACTCCACATTTGCTCCGAGTCAGTCAATTGGAATTTTTCAATCGGGTTTGGTCAGCGGTCAAATTGCGTGACATGGTGCGAGAAAAATAGTAAAAACGCGTAATAATTTATAGTAAAAGTGCTGTTTAAATTATTTTGTTTAATTTAAAAGGAGGGAGAGTTGTGTAAATTAAATTTAAACTAAAATTATGTGAAAAGTTGTCAGTGCTCTAGTAAAAGCAAAAAATGTGCGTAAAGTAAAATAAAGTGTAAATAAGTGTGCAAAAGTAGTTTTGTTGTCTTATGTGCTTATAGTGAAGTGCACAAATATATTTCGTTAAACGTGGTGCTAAACGTTCGTTCTTACTATGTTCGTGTGTCGCCGATTTCTAATTGACCAACAACGTAGTTCGAATAAAGAAACAAACAAACAATATGAATCAAGGAGAGTAATAGCATTTTTACTCTTAGTCTTAGGAGGTGAGTACAGGGTGTTTGTATAGGAATTACTTTATATATTTAAAATGAATTGAATATGTTTTAAAAATTCATATTTGCATATTTTTAATAATTTAATTGTTGTCAAGCTAATAACTAACTTTATCTTAAATTAGTGTTTCATTTTAAAAATTGGGGAAAAAAACTTTATAACACAACTGAATAGTTTAGATAAAGATTTAAGCACTTTTTTAATATATTTGCTATGGAAAATATTCTAAATAGTCAATTTTAACTTAAAACAAATTGTTCTTAAGTAAATCTTTTGAAAAATTAAATAAAATTTATATTAACTAAATTGGTAACATTTTTTTTATTTAAATTGTCCAGTTTTTATGTGGGTATATTTAAATCTCTAACAATTTGTTCAATAATCACTCAATAACTTCATTGTTTACCACTTTTTTTATAAATTTAATTGGAAAGATTTTTACCTCATACAAAACTTCCTTTTATATTGATATTGTATTAAAAATATTTCATCAATTAAATTTTTTCAAACAGAATATTTAACTTACTTAATACATATTACATATAATTAAAAAAAATCATTTACATATATGTGATCATCATTTGCCACATCAGTTTATTTTACATTTTTATATTAGCTTTATTACTCGAATTATCGATAGCGCAGGTCTCACCATATAAAACTTATTTTTCTCTCATAATAATGAATCATCAAAATTCATGAATCAGACAACTTTTATTTCACCATCTTTCATTGTTTTCAGGAACAATATTATTTCATGTATACCTATGTATGTTTTACATAACTAACTCTGTTTTTATTGTGTTGATTCTTTGGCATACATATTGCGGTTTTTCTGCAACATACATATGTATGCATGTATGTAAGCATTTTGAATTTTGGATTTTCATGTAAACATTATTAATTGTTATGAATATTCCCCAGCCTTTCCATTATTATTTCAATATTTATTTGCGAGTTTGGCTCTCATCCATTTTCCAATTCCCAAATTTATTATATGGTAATAATTTGCATGCGTGCAAAAAGATGTTTATACAAATTCACATTCACTTCAAATTTATTCAAATAATTAATATTCAAAAAGTGTAAGTTCGGTGATGGAATGAAATAATGAGAAGGAATACTAAATAGCTATTCTCGTGCTATACCACAAATCTATATATTACGATATGTATCATGGTTTGATGCGCTAAAATATCCTGGGGAACTCGGCTGTCAAAAGTTGTATACTCGTTAGACAGATTAAAAATTGGCATGCTTAGGAGATTTGATTTAATTCACAATTCTTGAAAGAGCGAGATGAAAAGTATCATCTGTTACATAATATCGTAAGTTTTAAATTATCCAAAAATTATAAATGATAAGCTTATAATAACACAGCATTTGAGCATGATTTCTGTTTGCTTCAGTTCGGTTAATAAATGAATAAACATTCAAAAAATTACAAAACATGGTGTTTAAGAAAAGCATTTTTTTTTTTTAAAGAAAAACTGGTTTTAGACTACCGTGAACACCCTAGACAGTGACAAATAGATAAGAGGAATATAAATATGTGTAGCACATTCATATTAGACAAATAACAGTGAATACAAGCAGTAAACTTTAATTCCTACAATTAAATATCCCGTACAATTTGCTTACTATAAAGTATATACAAAGACTGTGTTTTTCAAAACAACAAAAGTGGTTGACGAAACGGGCTATGCTTCGGTTTTACTAGTTCGTAAATTGTATGAGAAGTTGTATTCGAATAAAATTGTGTATATCCAGTATGACTAAATGTTCTGAAGATCAACCAATTTTTCACCATAATTAACCTTCTCTCACTAATAATTCGCGTCGAGTATTGGTTTTCGCAAGTATTTTATTTTGTTGACCAGTACAGACCAAACTACATTTCAATACTTAATAAGCTCATTGCTTTATGTGATTCTCACACATTGTCCAATATTTTCGATCAAAAGCAGTAATAAGGACAGGGGTCCAAATATTCGCAACCTACTAGATTGAATAGTTTCTGTTGGATGTGAATAATTTTTGTTCATGAAGTGGCATTTGTGATTAATATTCTACTAGAACAGTTTTTTTTTTTTTTTTTTTTTTTTTTTTTTTTTTTTTTTTTTTTTTTTTTTTTTTTTTTTTTTTTTTTTTTGTATATAGAAAATTGGAATACTTTTCGGCATGATAACATTGGCTAAGTAGCTTATTTTGAAAGCGTTAGCAAAATTACATCGGTTTTCATATACCATATATTTCATATGGGATTTTTTGATCTCTTGCAACATCTTTGAAAGCGTGATTTTCGAATGCAACATTTCTCAAACTCCCTCCCTTCAAACACGGTTTACTGATTTTTTCATGTAAACATTTCTTTAAAAGCTAAAGCTATTAACTGTAGTAAAGTACAACATGCCGAAAGGAAAAAAAACCGTAGGTTAACCCTTTGTTATAGAGCGGAAAAATTGCTATTAGAACATAATTGTTTCAAGGTTATATACTTAAATGGATTTAAGCTAGGTGTAAATTGAAAATAAGTAGAGTGTTTAAGCTTTTTTTCTTTCTCTTTTTAAGGAAAAAACATAAATATCAGGACCTTTTGTATATAGTACATTATTTCATTGTCCAAATCCCACAATCCTTAACGGCAAGCTCTTTGAGATACTTTAATGTGTGTAGAAAACATTTCTTTAGAGATAATATATTGTAAATTTGTAAAACTTACTTTCATATTTCGCAACCTGTATATATATATACATTTTTTAATAAAGGCACCGTCAAGAGTGTACAGCAGTGTGAGCTTTTTTCTACTACTAAACATATTTTAGTCTGGCAATTATGTAAAAATCAATATATTGTATATGTGAACATATGGTGTATTACATGACTAAAAGGTATTGACTTTTTTCAACTTACATTGAAATTTTATTGTCATTATCACTTGTGTCCACTACTTAACAACTTTTTCTTTGCTTTGCTTGCACACAAAAAGTTTTTTGCGAGCTCTATCCCAGTCGATAAAAGTGTCTCGCAACGGTAAGAGCTTGTATTTTGTACTTTTTACAGCCATTTAACTTTATATCAACCCATTAATGAACATTGTTGCCAAGCGATTTTGCAACAAACGTCAATATATGCCATTCAATTCATCCGCTTTCGCCTTCAAATTTGTTTTATTTGGTTATAGCCAAAGCTGTTTCAATCAGATCTTCAGAAAAAGGTAATAGCGAGAATTCACTTTCACAACAATATGTTTTACCGTCTGTATTATTTGAAATATAAAATTAAAGATTTTTCTTAATATCCAATGTCGACCACAGCAGCTGTACAGACTTATAGAAGATTAATATATCTCAACCCGCTCGTCTTGTGGTCGATCGCAACATTGCCAAGTAGACTGTCTGCTTGCTCCCGACGTGGCACTCCTCGTCATATCAGCTATTCTTTTGCATTTTCCGCAAACCAATGTTTTCAGTTACAGTTGTACGTAAGGACTTTTAAATGCTGTCCCATAGTGCCCTTCTACCGTGTTGCTGATGAGTACTCTCAGAGAGCAGGAGTGGAAGTCTAGTAGAAAATCGTTTTGCTGTCAGTTCTAATTATAGCTACTCCAAGAAGAACCATCCTTGTTTTTGCTGATGAGCGTGCTTTGTGCTGTACAAACGTAACGTCGCTTTAACAAGATATTGGTCCGAGTCGATGTTATGTCCTCGGAGCGTATATACTTTAAGGACAGTGGAGACGTGTCGTCCATCTATCACAACATGATCAATCAAGTTACGAACTTTTCCGATGACCGGCAAGTAGCTTGGTGAATTTTATTGCGCTGAAATCTGAATTTTTTGACGATTATACAAAGTAAAATTTTTAAATCGGTGCGGGCAGTTGTCATAAGACCGCTTCAGACGCTCAGAAAAGTCATCTTTGGTCATATCGTCCTCCCCTTCCGTCGGCGCTTGGACGCAAATGTGTGTTATGATCAAGGGTTTTGTTCTATTGTGAGGATTGTGACTGAAAGCTCATCCACCTAAGCGAATGCTAGAACTAGACAAATTAGTCTTATTTTCACGAGACCCACACCAAATTGCGCTCGTTGTTTCAACTATTGTACTTATTTATTTATATAGAAAATTTGGAAAGTGTATTCTACAGTTCAAAGCGGCGTCCGTCGATCATTTACTAGATTATGTTATTAATACTTCATTCGCATTAGTTTAGATAGCTCAAACCTGGCTCAGGCTTATTCGAGAGAAAAGGATGTGTGAAATATTTCAAAGCGATATCTCAAGAACTGAGAGAGTAGATCACTCATCTATAATAGGACATAATAAATAAATGTTAAATTTACTTAAATCATTACTCAGATTTCTTATGCAATTTATTGCAATCAATTTCGTGTTTTCTTTGCTTTGAAAATAATTACGAAAAGTTAATTCACAGTATCTCAATCGTGACACCATTTTCCACTTACAGACATAATGTACCTGTGCCAATAATGTAACGGTTTTTCTTTCAGCAACAAATAGTAATTAAGGACCGTAATTGCATTGAATCATTTGATTCAAAGAGTTTCTATTCAACGGCAATACTGATTTCATTGCAAATAAGATTTAAATGTGGAATATGCGAGTAGCAACCAATTTGTGTCAATAGTGTGTTGATTAACTTGTTTGATCCTGAAGGACACTTATGTCACTTGCTGTTAACAATAAAAGATAATACATGGATTTTGGCTCAAAAGTAGTCCCCACCTCACATAGCGTAATAGTTGGTTCATCAAACGTTACCAAACCTAGACCTAATCGATTTGTTATACGTACATTTTAAGTAGAGTTATCTCAATACATCAAAGTAATGAAATGGCGAAACTAATTTCCCTTGTCTTTATTTGCGTCATTCCATATTAAAAACAACTAAAAGTGAGATTATGTAAGAAGCATTACATTTAAACATGGTGTTTTGTCGCATTGGGCTAGTATGCTAGCTTGTTGAA